ATTTTATTGTTTGGCTCTCTTCCAACATTGATCGAAACATCTGTATATTTGTTGCTTTCATAAAGCTTTTCGTAATCCGATGAAAGATCTGAAGATAGGTCAGCTATATCAATTAAATTAGTCATTTCGAAATGATAACTTAGCTCCCCCGTTGATGATCGATTATGTGTATCATATGTGTGTAACTAGAAATTTGTATTTGGGGCTGCGCCCCTTTTACTAACACCTCAGGGATATAAGTTAAACCTGGGTTTTGCGTACACTCCAGGATACGAAAATACTAATAAAGGACGCAAAACTCCAGGATACGCACGCTAATGTATACGTAAGAAGGAATTAAAAGATTTAAACTATTAGGAGATCCTAATCGATAACTGTGATTAGGCCTCAATTCAATAGTTAAATAGAGAAATGACGTTGAGCTACATTTAAATAATATCATTTACATCACAATCATAATAATAATAGCCATATAAAGAACATATAGAAGCAGATTTATTCAAAACTTATATTTAGTGAAACTGGATATAACGAAGTTTGCCTAAGAAAGATTTAAATCTTTGACTGTAATAAATATATGGCGAGGTTTCTTTCATTATATTGTGTGATTGTGAAGTTCGTCATAACTTTAATAATCTTATTATGTATGCACGTATTTTTGCACGAAAAAAGTCTAAATCTTGTGTTGACAATGAAGCGGCGAAACATGTTGTGAATAAACGCCGTGCAGTAAATTTCCGTCCGGACGAGCATGTTGAATAAAATTAGTTTGGCTTCTAGAAAATTTATTATTATCATATTCCAAGTCTGCGGTGGTTAATACAAACCAGCAAATTATTATCCTGTTACAACAAAGCTATGATAAAATTGTATGTAACTTCTTATAAAGAGGAGAAAACCTGGATATAATGAAGAAAAAGATCACTCTGTTATATCCGTATAGGAAAACTATGTTAAAATTTGCGGCGCTCCATCTCTTTTCTCATTCTAAACCTAAACACACGACATTATTAACAGACAACGCAGGGTATGGCTTGTGATAATGTTTAATCCGAATCGTCTGCAAGTTACAGAGAAAAAATTTTGTTGTCATTGAATAAAATTGCTGTAATAAAATTGTTGTAATTTGCAAAAAATGCTTAAAGTACAGTAGCTATCATGGCAATTGATCGAGATTCATATAACGTCCTCGTCGTAAATGAACTAATGTTCGGTTGTAAGCGGAAATGGGATCTACTATACCAATCCCAATGACTAGTTTACAATAAATAGATTGTGATAACATGTTCGAACTGTGTATTAAGTGATCGTGTATTAGCTGTTCTGTTAATGTACGTGGGTGGTTCAAAAAGTTCTTGCTGATAATCTAATACTAACCAAATAAAAGCTCAAGTTCTGATCTTTCAAACCAAATTTGATTGGTTTAATACGCTCGAATTTCAGCATCAGGTCTCACAATTAATTAATAAAATCTTGTAGACATATTAATACGCACAGTTTGGCAGCTAAATTTTCAATGAACCGGCTTAATGAAGATGGGTTTATAACGAAGTAACGTGTGTTTTTTTTTTAACCATTTAATTTACTGTATATATTATAGAAATGGATGTATTAACGAAGTCAGGGATGGTACGGAGCACTTCGTTAAACCAGACTTTTACTGTGTACTACAAAGGCACGAAGAGGAAACTAAAGTTTACAAAAATGAGTAAAATTGGATATTATTATTGCATTATAATTATGTAAATCACAGACATTTAAAAGACCTATCATGTCATGTAGATTAACAATTTCTTTATATTACGTATACTTCATGATACTTGCACCGGATAATAATCTGAGCTATGCGATTACGTCGCAAGACATGAGCATCGTGTCATTATAGTCAAGACCAAGAGGAGAACGTTCACAGCAGGCCCGTCCACCGTCGGGGCTGAGTACCTAACTGGTAACTTTCGCGAGCTGTGACCACGATTCAATTTGGTCAATGTATCCTATTCACCACGGCCCGGCAGACAAGGAAGTTCCAGGACCGGGCATTAATATATATGTAATAAATATCCTATTCACCATTCGGTAACAGAAGTTTGATTTGCGTCCTTGCGCTTGAAAGCTATCCGGTTTACACCTATGGCAGCGTAACTTTAGATATACCCATGTCAAAACCCTGTAGCCTCGATGCGCTTTCAAGATCTCCGGTTTACACCTATGGCAGCGTAACTTGGATACAAACAACGCCCTTATTCTGTATGCTCGACTTCCTTCCTTGGTTTTGGCAACGGAACTATCTTCCAATATTCTTTTCTTGAACCATTTATTTGAGACTTAATTTTCAACACGTTACCAGAAACTAATTATTAATCGTTGGAACAAAGTAAAGTATAAAGTCTAATAGTAATAGGAAGGGCGTTCGTTGACAGAGTAAACAAAAAAATTGGCTGACCAGTAATATGTGTTTTTGTGGACCTCTGGCTCAACCAAATTGATCAAAAAATAAACAGGTATGTTAATAAGGTAATCTGGCCTAAACAATCCAAACATCGCATCTCGTGCCGAATATCGCAACACTAGCGTCTGAGACGTACTCTCAACCGTGCTCTCCATAATAACAATCCTAATGGCTGCTTGATTACTTCCGTCTTCCAGAATTTGCAGTGGTGTGATCGTTTACGTGTTCTCCACGAACTACACTGCTGAAAGTGTAAAGCTGAACAAGTAAGGGCAGTCTTTCGACGGCACAACTGGATGAATGTTGCTGTATCACATATACCACAATAACATTATTATACGTGTTATGCCACAATGCGGCAAATACGTAGTAGTCTCACATTGTGGGCATTTCTTGATGAGGACCAGATTATTCCACGATGGAGTGAGTTAAATGCAGAAACGAACCAGGACTACTTGTGAAATTGAATCATCTGAAGTAAATTTTCCCGAAAAGACTCTTCTTCTCAGCCAGCGATTCATGACGACTACGAAATGGACAGTCAGTTACATCCTTACTTTAATTGATATTGTCTTCATGTTATGCTTGGACATTCAGTAGCTATTCGGTTATTATGATAGCTATCCACAAACCCAAGGATAATGTTCTGTAATAATAGCAAAAATCACTTTTTCAGATCTAATATTCGAGCCGTATATGCTGCAAATACTCTCAGAATCTAATCAACTAGAAGAAAGTTGTATTCAAAACACATATGATACGGCATGTATAATGGTCACGATACTAATAGAATACAAGTCGCTTATCAACTTGATTAGATGAAGGAGAATTATGAAATTACTTATTCTGAAGTTTATCTCATCAACGTGTACGATTTGATCGCTCGCCATGTGACAAAAAGGTTCAATACAATGGGTTTCCGCAAGCTGTGACTTTCGGATTTACAACTAGGGTAGCGTAACTTTGGATATAATACCACTCAACAATTCTGCCGTATGTTCCCGGACCCGTGATTTGTTTGTATTTTTGTCAAGTGAACTACGTATCAATCAGCGCAGTAGCAGCGGTTGCCTTTTCTGGTGTAATTAATTTTTTTGTCTATAAATACCGATAATTTTTTCCCTCGCTGATATCATCTCCCACTCTGATACACCTTTTACTTCGAATCTTCGTACTCGTAAAATATATATATGTCGCTCAAAGATACAATTCGTATTGCGCTCAAATGGGGAAGATTTAGTCCGATTAGAGTACAGTGAGTTTTGTTGAGCAGTTACTGTATCGCTGCTCCTAGGTTTAAATTGGAGGATCGAAAATAATAGCTGCACATAATACATATGAACTTATTTCTTTATCTTGTTAGTAATACAAACGGCGACAGTAGCATTGACATGATAGTTGAGCACGCTAGATACGAATTTATAATACGATGCAAGGATCGGTCGGCCGGTAAGTTGTTAAATCTACATAAGGTCAGGTCTATGATGCAATGCTAATTATATATATTTGATATAGACGAGTCAGATGTCCATAAGGTAGAGGACATCCTTGCCAGACGCGCCGACGACAACGAATATATAGTCGGTGTTCTGGCAGCTCGATCCTTTTCTGAGAAAGCAAAGTATCGAGCATTTGCTTCCAGATACAATGTCATCTTGGCCAATGAAGATGACATTGCTTGGAAAATAAAAGCGTTTGTGAATGCGAACTTATGCATATCAGATTATTTTTATTTTCTTATTCCTGCTGCAGTTGCTGTAATATTTTTAACGTTTCTCTATATCGTTATCTACAAATAAAAAAAACTGGCGATTTACAAATGCTTTGTATTTTATTCTATATTGCTGTAATCAATATTAAATGTCTGCCTGCAAACATGTTCAATTTCTCTCTTCAGTGTGAGAATTGGGCCACTATTGTCTAGAAGAAGTATTTAAAAATGATTTGTTTGAACTGCAGTATGCTGGAAATTGTTCGAGTCACACAAAACTTAAACCCAAATTTACTAATTGGCTAGCGGACAGTTCGATTACCTGGTTCATTTCGTCCAGTCAATTTGCCGACAGGGTTATCACACCGACTGATACTTGATTATATCTGTTAAACTGAGATATAGTCGACCCTTCCTGAATATGTCCCCTCAGGACTAAGAGCGTGAGTGAAATACGAAATCCAAGACTTTTCTTTTGGCATACCGCTAAAGTTGTTTTCTTTTTTATATTCTTTGAAACACAGCTCGCTATTGCAACAACACAGGTTTGTATAAGTGCACTGTTATCTCGATTCTGTTATCTCAGCTATATCAGTATCGGAATAAGCTTCATCTTGTTTTACCGTTTGCGATTTTTTACAACTTATATTTCTTTCTCACTACGGGGTGTCTGGGTTGATACTTGTAGTATAAACACATTGAGTAGAGAGAATGGTGATATGTACTATGTCTATTCATAGGATCATGATGTCGAGCTGCAATCAATAAAAATTACGGTTATATAAAGAAATATCCGGCTGGGCATATAATAAGAGTTTATGTCAAATTTAATACAATGCAAGGATCGATCGCCATTCTAGTAACTCGCGATGTTAGAGAATCGTATCGTGACGTTAATGGAAACCAAATTGACTAACAAGTTGCTTTCCGAAATTGTAAAGATTAAAACACAAACAATTGTCTATGTAAGTTTTATAGTAATCAACTCTGTGTACGTCAACGTCAATAAAATAAAGGTAAGACTGATGGAATTGATGATATGTTGACGCAATTCGAAAAGCTAAAGGGTTGGGACTGTACAAAACTATTCAGAGTTTAGGTTGAATACGTCATTATAACGTTTGTTGACCGGATAAGCTATTGTCATTATAACAATCGATGGGTGAAAAACAACAGAAGTGCTGATCGATAGTAGTTACACAACCCTGTTGTCACGTGAGGTATATTATTTTTATTGACATAAAAGGTTATACAAAACAAGTACGTGCCGTAGTTTAAGGTTTTGTTTCAGTGATACATGACATCAAGATGAAAACATAATAATAAGTTTACGTAAACAAAACATTAATATCCGAGCGAATATAAATCACGTTGCAGAAAGAGGCGTGTCGATTTAAAAAATTCAATTCAGAAAAAATGGAACAGCTATTTAAAAAGTTTTTGTTTGTTATATGTTTCCTAAACCTGATAGTTAATATTACTACTGCCTACTTTATTCCTCAACTTAGCCCTGCATATGGAATAACACATCCGGAAGATAGTGAGATTGCAACTCTTCGTCGGTGCATCAGTTACTCGGCCGTTAGTTATTGCGAAAATAACAACGATCTCGACAATTGGAATTGCGGCAAACATTGCAACAACGCACCTGGTACAGAATTTGTACAAGCGTTTAGTGCACGTCGTACTTTCTGTAAGTAAAAAATATATATAGCCATGAAACATACCATACTATATTGTTGTCATTATCTAACCAAGATCAAGTGGAATTTTTGGGTGACAACTATGGTTATATTGCGGTGAACCACAAGTTTCAGGAAATCGTCGTTGCTTTCAGAGGCACAACAAATCTTTTGAATATAGCAGAAGACTTGAACACCATGGAAAGCGTATTTCAAGCTGAGGGAGTTCAATACGAGGGCGAGAGTATATCGCAAGCCGTTCGTAATTACACACATGTTCATAAAGGGTTTTACGATGCTTGGAAATCACTTAAAGACGATATCAACGACAAATTAAACACTCTGATCAACCAGTATCAAGGATACTCCGTTGTGGTAACTGGACATAGTTTAGGTGGTGGTAAGAATGCTTTTCAATCCGCCCAAGTTTTCGAGTACATTAAAAAGTTTTTTTAATACGTCATTTTACATAGCAATGGCAGTATTCCAAGCAGTAAATATTAAAGAAACTTATCCCGAAATAATGCCACGATTATACACATACAATGCTCCACGCGTTGGAAACGAATATTTTGCCTATTACGTAAACAATGTGTTGGTATGTATAGATGAATGCGATACGTATAATTCTTTCTTTCTTGCTTGCTCGCTTGTGCTAATTTTCGAAACAATTAATTAGGATTGGATGCGACGGGTAGTCGTGGAAACCGAACCCGTTTCACATTTTTTAAGTGGTCCTATGATTACGAAAACGCTTGAAACCTATACCTGGAAGCACCACAAAGGGGAAGTATGGATTGCAAATCACACCCAAGAGAAAGAGGGTACCTTTGTATGCGCGGGAAGTGAAAATGAGGTAAAAAAGAAAGAAAGAGACGGGTTAACATCTCGAACACTATTAATACGTCGATATAATTTTAAACCGGCTTTTTATTTATAGTTTTGCAGTCACAGTTTGCAGCCACGTGACTTTCTTACATCGTTACACGATTCGATAAAGGATCATAGTGGGCCATTCTTTTGGGACATTATGACCAGTAAGGATTGGCACGGTTGTAAGAATTTTTCAAAATATGAACACATTGATACGTAAATTATTTCACTATAAGCATTGAGCTTTATGTGAGCAAAATGGTACCATAGCTAACAGGGTCACATCAGATAGTGAGGCATTCCATGTATTATATTCAGCATACTGTTTTACTCGTATTTATTAAAATCGCATATTATAAACTTGTAACACCAATAATAATGACAATGATATGATGTCGTGATGATGACACCTTCTAATCCAGTCTTTATTATGTTGTGTTATTAATTCGCTTATTTTGGTTAAACCAAGTTATTATACTAGCAATATTAAGCTTTATAATAAATAAAAGTCATTACATATGATCGCCAAAATAAACCAAAATAAATAACCACAACTTATGGACTACATTAAAGTGTTATTGAAATACATTTTATTTTATCAGGTACGCAGCGAGCGCAAGTATGGATTTATATATACTATATTTATATTCACTTTGTCTATTTTGTTACAGATGAATCACCCCTGACAATATTAGTCAATAATATATGTACGCTCTCCAAGGTATTAAGTGTTCTATAAGTTATTAATCTATGTAACTAAGGAATATTATAAATACCACCAAAAAATAATGTCCGTGCGTAAACAAGAATGTACCAATTCTCGTTCTCTCTCTCATACTTTGTAGTCAAGAATGTGCTTGCTTTTCTGCTCTTTGAAATACTTCTTGGCCTCGTCCACCCAGAACACGCTCGATGTCAATATTACCAGCTTGAATAAATCGTACAGTCCAATTGCTTCTGTCTGAAAAATACGCTGCAAGAATGGTGTATAAATAACAAGTAACTGCCCGATAATGGATCCGGCAACGGCATAATTGAACATGCGATTTGAAAAAAATCCTTTTTCAAATATGGATTTCTTCTCTGAGCGGCATGCTAACGCGTTGAACATGTCGAAAAATACAAATGTCGTAAACGTCTAGAATAGAATAAATTACAAGGTTAATCTTTTGCAATTTATGTCTCCAGGCACAAAAACGACATGTATATTACCATAGTGGTATCCCGCGCGGTTACACTCCCATCCCTCATTTCAGTCATGTATATAAACAGCGTTCCAGCAACTACACACGCAGCTGCAGTCAATACTCTTTTGATCAGTCTCTGAGTCAATATGGGTGCATTCTTTTTCTTGGGAGGTTTGTTCATCACATCGTGATCTACAGGCTCTACTCCCAGTGATTGCGCAGGTGGACCGTCCATGAGAATATCTAACAGGGACGAATGAGAGAATTGTGATGATTGTGGGAAGGGAAGGGAAGGGAAGGGGGGTGTTGCATTATTATATAGAAAACCAATAGTGAAATTATAGGAACAAGTGAAATTGTAAAAATAACTAATACTAGAAGAAGCAGCATAACACTTACTTATCCATAATATTTGCATTGGATTGAGTGGGTTGGGCAGACCCGACATTGTTGAAAGTGTTATGAGAGTAAGCGCAGCCACACTCGTACTCAATTGGAATGTTAAAAAGTTTTGGATATTATAATATATTGCTTTTCCTATAAAAATATCAATGTTAATAAAAATACCATAGAAAATAATGCGCTGTACCAATTGACTTGCACCAAGTATCCTACACAATACTTTATATATTTGATCTATAAGTTTGACTCAACTATCACACAAGTTTATAAATACCTTCTTTCACTGCTGCTAATATTGTGGAAAAGTCATCATCAACCAAAATCATGTCGGCCGCTTCTCGTGAAACGTCAGTTCCGCTCTTTCCCATGGATATACCTATATCAGCCTTTTTCAATGCAGGAGCATCGTTGACTGTAAGAACCAACAAAATGTCTATATAACTATTCTCATTCATGCAAAGTGTGATTACGCTTGCAAGCAAGCAAACATCAACTCCCTTCCCTTTGTAAACAAACCTCCATCTCCCGTCATGGCAACAATTGCCCCTTTAGCTTGGAACGCCCTGACAATAGCCAGCTTGTGTCTTGGCGTCGTTCTCGAAAAGACTGAAATGCTTCCAATAACTTCCTCCAATTGCTTATCAGACATTGACTCGATATCATGACCAGTAAGACAGCTTGATCGGGAGGCATTCAGTGGAATGCCGAGTCGTCGAGCTATCGAAAGAGCAGTTCCATCTACACGTTTTAAAGTCATCAAAGATGAATACAGTGAAGGCGAAACGAAAATAAGAAACAAATGTTTTATGTCAAACCGACCTGAATCACCAGTAATCATGACCACTTTGACTCCTCCTTTGACTAACTCACTTATAGACTTGTCGACACCTAAACACGATTGAGAACATGAATCACAGTATTATTAACGATAGATAGCAATAGATTCAACCGGCTGTAATTTCACTACATGTCATGCTAACCTTGCCTGGGGGGATCATGCATAGCCACGAATCCCACAAACACCAATTCGTTAATCTTGTTACCATATGCCAAACCCAAAACTCTCAATCCATGACTGGACATGGCGTTTACATGCTGCATAACAATCTCCTTGGCGTTTATGTCCAATACCGGTTTATTTGTCTCGGAAACAAAATATCGAACGCTCCTCTCCAAGACCGCCTCGATGGATCCCTTGAAATATAAGAGTTTGTCCTGTGAATCATGCCGGCAGCAAGTAACAGACATCCATTTCTGCTCTGAATTAAATGGAATCTCTTCCACGCGTTCGTACGATAATCGTTCATCTGCCGAAAAAAATCTCAGTGCAGCCTCCAACAATGCAATCTCGGTCGCATGGCCAGTTTTTTTCCCCTCATCGTCGATACGTGCGTTGTTGCACAGATTGCCAATTCTTAAAGCTACTTTCATGGCGCTAGAGGTCAGCGTAGGAATGGTATGCTCGAGATCGAATATCATTCCCTTGTCAAGCGTAAATATTTTTGTCACTGTCATTTTGTTTTCGGTAAGCGTGCCCGTCTTGTCAGAACAGATAACATTGACCGAACCCAGGGTCTCGACGGCAGGGAGTTTCTTTACTATTGCGTTGCGTTTTGCCATTCGCAGCACTCCGAGCGCAAGCGTGACGGTAACAACTATTGGCAGACCTTCGGGAATGGCAGCAACCGCAAGACTCACGCCGATCGTAAACATTTCCAACCAAGGTCGACCTTGGAATATGCCTATCAGAATAATAACTGCAATTATCGCAAACGAGAAATACGATAAAAGTTTTCCTAGTTGGTCCATGTTGATTTGAAGAGGAGTTTTAGATTTCTCGACTTCTTCCATCATCAGGAAAACAGCACCGAATTCTGTGGCCTTTCCGGTACCAACGACGATTCCGGTTCCATACCCATTCGTCACCAAAGTGCCCATGAAAGCAATGTTTTTTCTGTTTTGTATGTCGAGCTCTAATCCATTGTTCATCATGACGTCAATGTTCTTTTTGCGTGGTTTGGTTTCTCCGGTAAAGTTTGATTCGTCTATTTCTAAATCGACGGCGGTTACAAGCCGTATATCGGCAGGGACTCTGTCACCAACGCCAAATAGGACTAAATCGCCAGGGACCAATTGATTTGCATTTATAGTCAGCGCCCTTCCGTCCCGCATTATATTACAGAAGTGAGGTACCAGCCTATTCAACTCCTCCAATGATTTCTCTGATCTGTACTCCTGCACAAATGCCACGGTTGTAACAATGAATACGGCAAGCAACACTGAAAATGCATCATCCTTGTTGCCCATTACCAAAGAAACAGCGGCTGAGGCTAGAAGGAGAACAATGAGAGGATTCTCAGTGAACTGTTTCATGTATTTTATGTATACAAGTTCGGCATTTTCTGTTTGAAATTCGTTGTGACCATTTAAATCAAGACGAGCACGTGCTTCTTTTGAAGCAAGACCCGATTTTCCATCCGTGGCAAGAGAAGAGATTGTTTGTTCGACTGACAGTTTCGCATACTTGTCTGATGGCGTTATGTTGGTCATTTTATAAAAGTGTTGGGGGAGGGAGGGGGATGTTCAAGAGAACGGCGGCTATTAGTGAAGTTGAAAGGACTGTTTCTTCGTTTTTGTATGCTTATGCGCCAGTGAGGAAATAGTAGTTGCAAGTTGTGATTTTGCAATGCGAAATTCGTGATCCTCAATCAAGTATTATAAGAGGAAGGATTTTTAAAGGTCTACAAACGACCGAACCATGCTATTAATATTAATTATGATCTGCAATCAGCATGATAGAAAGTTTACCTGGAAGCTATTAGTGTAACACGGATTTTTTTAACATCACGTCCGCATTTTAAATTTGTTATTTCAATGCACGTGTATAGATTGCAATTGGTGAAGTGTAACAAACAAAATCACATGGGAGATAACTAGAAACGCATTGGGATATCGATTACCAGCTCAACCCGTTATTTAAATACGTTATTGTTGTAAAAATAGCTATTATAATACTATAAATAGGATATCTCAAGTCTGAATTTACATAGAGATTGAATCTACCAACTTGAAATTATTAGAAATTGTCGTAAACAAATTGTTGTCTCTTAACATGTTCTCAGTATTACTTTATTAAAATTCTCACCAGACAATATAGATTCCCTGCTAGATATCGTTGGTTGGGATGCACTAATAAAGCTATCAATCTCTGGTATAAACTAACAGTCTTTTGATGCTGACGAACGAGAAACCTGTATAATAAGCGTTTGGAGTATCCGAGTGAGTAGGCATTGACATACAATTCAGATGATGATATTTTTGGGCTATGCCAGAAATAATGTTTACACCAGCCAACACGGCACCATATCCACGGGTTAAGTGTGAAGAAACTCGTATTAGTTTCTTGATTAGAAATATTGCTGAGGATGGCGTATTTGGTGCAAACATGCGAAGCCGAATTCGTACTTGGAGAGAATACAACGAAATTTGAAATTAAATCTGAATGTTATGAGCATGTTAGATTGTAAAAAAAAACACACACACTCGCCGACTTTAAAGCCACGCGGTTACCGACAAGATTTAGTGTAGTTGCTTGGATCTTTGTCTCCAGATTTTTGTTATATTATACTTATACTTCAACTCGGATCTATTGACGTCATATATTCAAATACAGGTGTTGTAAATAGGTCACGGGTAAAACGCTAATTATAACACAGTGAAACGGACCGTCGATATAACGTATTTTGCCTTATACGGACTTTTTTGCTGGGACGGAATTTTATAGCGGACTTTTATATTAAACAGTGATACAACGGGTTTTGTGTAACTTGAATTCCGTTACTATTACTGAAGTCCGCTATATTAATATTATAGCGGAGTCCGTTTACACATTAAATATAGGAATAAGATTTCCTGCTACACGTATCTAACAAATTACAAACTTAACATAATGTCGACTTATGGTCTTATAAAATGCTTCTCAGCAAAGTGATGTAAACAAACGAATTCGCGTTACCTTATGTGAACGACTTAGACGCCGATGCGAGTTTTGCTTTGAATTTGGGAAGATTAAGAAATGAAATTGTTATGAAGCGCATTGAACAAAAGAGGCAGACAAATATTGACGAGTTTTTTACATTCGAGTCTTAAATTGAATTTATCGTTAGGTATTATTATTATGTCACACATGTTATAACCGTGAATAATAAAATATATTAAAGGCTGTCGTTATAACGGATTTTTGCAAGTTTAGTTAAGAGTCCAGTATAAAACTCACTGTTCGATGTAACGGACTGTCGATATGGCGGACAAAAGTGCTGGTCCGAACAGTCGTTATATCGACTTTCACTGTGTACTATGTACTAATATGAGAAGCATTATCCAATCCTACAACTCCATTCGCCCATCCATCTCCTCCATGTCAACATATAGTCAGTAATGTATTATTATTATTAATGCAAATTATACAAATTCAAATATTTAGTACAATTTCAGCGGCCGACTAATACTACCAATAGTTAAGATGCATTCTATTCGTTTTTTAGCAGAAATCAAATGACCAATCTACTAAACAAACAATTTTGACAAGGGTTAAGAAGTCGTTCGAGACGAAAGTTCTTGTTCAAACTCAAACTTATATTAATCATCAGTCGAAATTTACTTTGTTCTTTTTTGATTAGTGAACTAACGTAATGGCAATCAATTTGTCAACAGGGACGCGATATTCTTGCATTATATAATAAGTTTAGATAGTAACGTACGAATTGCCTTCGAAATGAGACCATAGCAAGTACAATGTAATTCTGTAGTATCACGTACAAGAGCCAATCAAATTTCAGGGTTTTTTGAACGCGAATCTAAAAACCCTTCAGATGTGCAGATACTCTGACCAATTCCATAGAAACCCGTCACACCGTGTAACTTTGAAAATCAATTCCAGTCATGTTTGATGTTCCGCGAGCCAGCAAAAATACCAGATTTTTCATCTCGGTCTTTCAATTAGTCGCCGCAACGCTGGCTTCTCTACCTCGATCACCTCTCTCGCCCTACTCCCCCTCTTGTTTCTTCTTTTGATTGGCAGGATAAAAGGTTAAATGTCTGAGTACCTGGAAACTACAAATGATGAGATTATCATTACAGAGATCACGGAGAGTATTCCTTCTCAACAAAAGGTATTAACTGATGTTGACAACGCGGAAGCTATCAACACGGTAACAACAACGTCTATTACTGCCGCTGTGACTACAACGACGACGCTAGTAGAAACCCCAAGCTTGCCACAAACTTCTGAATCGAAAGACAATAAGCTCTCAGCTAGTGATAAATATGACGAAGACTTTCCTTCTCTCTCCACTTCCACTTCCGCACCCGCACCGAAACCGCCTGTACTGTCTATACGAAAAACGGGAATTATTACAGATGTTTTGGAATTTCCTGCGTCTCAGCAGAACAGAACAAAGGAATTTGGAAACAAAGCGCCTACCATCGATATCGTTAAAAGAATTAAAGAGAGGACCAATACACAGATCGAAATGTCAACGGCAATGAGAACAGGAATGACGACATTCTTGATCATGGGAAAAGTAGAAGATGTACAAAGGGCGAAACGAGAGTTGAAGACTGCTTTGGCCGTTAAGGTATATTGTGAATTTCAGTTATATCTGATTAATAGTTGACTAGGGACTATTGTGATTAACGTTATAACTTTTCTCCCAAGATTTTTGATCAAATAATAATTATTATTAATTTTGCTTCTTATTTCGCAATCTATCCAATATCCTATTCACTATCTTTAGACTGAATTAATAATCAAAGTGCCAGCCTCTGTTCGGAGACACATTTTCGGTCCAGGAGGAAGTACATTGAAATCGATTATATCTCGTACTGGCACTCGAATTCAACTGCCAAAGAGAGATACCATCGAAGAAAAGGTCGAGGGAATTGATGAGGAAGAAGAAATGATGGATATAAGAATCGAGGGCGATAAGGAAGGTGTCGGGATGGCCAAGGCCGAGATTGAGACTATTGTCGTTGAAAAGGTACAGTAGCTTGAATTTCACAATACGGACATTGTTATATATTGGCGTTCTGTAACGGAAATGTCAATACTGTATATATTTATAATATTCTCTTGTTTTTAATTTTTAAATTAATTCCTTATTTATATCTCACAGACTCCTAAGCGCGTTCAAAAAATAAGTCACATACAACATTACTTTTACCCTCTCATCGCTGGTGCCCACAACCATAGTGTTCAACAAATAGCTCTTCAAACAGATACCAAAATTCACATCCCTACTTACGTTGCTGCTCTTGACGCGGCCGAGAATAACGAGAGCGGACAAAAGGATGGACATATTACAGTCATCGGCAACGCGGAAAACGTAAAACAGGCCTGTGAAAGGATCGAAGATGTTTACAACGAATTAAAAGTAACAACAAGAACTTTAACTGTGGATATTCCAAAACGTCAGCACAAATATTTAATCGGACCCAAAGGAGCGAATTTGCAAGAAATTCTTGAAGTCACTGGGTGTTCTTTGGAATTAGCTCCCGTTTCGGATCCAAACGAAGTTGTGACTATACGTGGACCGGCTGCTAAACTTTCTGAAGCGACCAAATTAGTCATGGATAAAGCTAGTTCTATAAACGTCGAAATTTTGGATATCACAAATATCCATAAAGCGGAAAATCCCTTAGAGCACGCTAAGAATGTCTTAAAGTATCTTTGGAATAGAGGCAAATTGCGCAAGATTGAAGGAGATTCGGGTAATTTACAGATTATTGTGCCGAAAGGAGGCACTTTGAATAATTCTGTAATATTTGAATTTGTGGGAAAATCCCCAGACATCGTGGAAAAGGCCAGGAAGGAGGTTTTGGAGCTCGTAAAAAACCTGGTAAGGTTTCGAGATGGGTCAAGTAGAGATATTGATATTCTACGTTCATGATATGTTTCTTAACCCTATCGTTTTACTTACACGCTTTATTTTCCCCCTCAGCCGCCAAGTTACTTTGACACAGTTGCGGTAGACCCGTTATTACATCGACACATCATTGGTCGCAAAGGTCAAAATCTACAACGCGTGAAGGAAACTTATGGTGTTGAGATAATTGTGCCAGGAGAGAAGGACGAATCGCCTGATATCATTATTGTCTATGAGGATAAAGTTCCTTCCTCTTCTCAACCTGCCAATCCTGAAAAAAAGAAAGAAGTTTTGGTCAAAGAAACGCTTGAACAGGCCAAGAACGAACTCATCAAGGCTGCTCAGGATGCCTCGGATTTTGCAACGCAATCGTTAACTATTCCTGTTAAATATCATCGTCATATTATCGGTCCGAAAGGTACAACCTTGAATAAAATTACAGGCGGAGTGGATACACCCGTATCGGTAAAGTTTGGGTCGCTGAGGACGGGGGCGGCTGAGAGATCTGCCTCGGCCGAAGGCAAGAGAGTTGCTAATATGCAGCCTTCAGATGACCTTGTTATTATAAAGGGACCGACGGAAGAAGTGGAGAGGGTTGTAGCGGAGATTGAAAGAGTCGTTAAGGATGCAGAGTTTATAGAGGTATGGATCAGATTACAATTTACGCATTGGTTTGAAAGGTGGGAGCTAAGTTGGGATTTTAAAAAAAAAAGTATTAGAAAAGACGTCGCAATTAAGAGTCGGCCAGGGTAACTAACCTAATTTATTCTAAAATTTTGTAAAAGGCTAGGAATTCATATACTGCTACATTTACTCTTCCATCTCAGTATTCTGCTCACATAATTGGCAAAGGCGGAGCAACCATAACACGGCTTAAAGATATGCACAATGTTAAAATTGAAATTGATGGTCCGCAAAAAGCTTCAAATGATGCGAATGCCGACAATGCCAAGGTCCATAAAAGAAAAGAAGCTGATAAAAACCATTCCTCCGATGAGGTAAAAGTTACCATTCTAGGAACCGAAAGAAACGTTGAAGAAGCTAAAGAGAAGATTCTCGACTTGATTGATAAAATCAAAAACGAAACAACTCTTAATCTTGTCATTCCTGCGGAATACCATAAATCTCTTATTGGAAGAAATGGGGTATATGTTAAAAGGTTAGAGGAGAAGTATGGCGTCCATATTCGATTTCCGTGGAATAAAGCAGGAGACGAAGATGGCAATAACCATGATGGACAGAAGCCTAACGAGGTTATTATTAGAGGTGGTAAGAAGGGTGTAAAAAACGCCTCAGACGAGATAATGGAGTTGTTCGAATACGAGAGAGATCACAACAATTCCGTCAGCTTTACCATTCCAGCGAAAAGCCTTTCTTATATACTTGGCCGCAAAGGGCAACGAATTACAGAAATCAAAAATGATACATTTAGTCGTATCGAGTTTGGGAGTCCGCAGCCAGATCCTTCCACTGAAGAAGAAGTTATTGAAGTCAAGGTTTTCGGTACATTGTCAGACATTCAGAGAGCTCGAGACATTATACAATCGCTTGTCAAAGACCTTGGTAGCCAAAAGACAGTAACGATGCACATAGACCAGAGCTATCACGGATACTTGATCGGACCATCGGGGAGTAGGATTAAAGAAATTGTTGCGAGGGCCAGCGAACCAGAGAATAAGTATAAGCCCGTCCAGGCTAACGTTGTGAAATTTCCAAAGCCGTGGGAGCAGAGCGACGAGGTTATATTGTCAGGTGAAATAGGGCTTGTTGAAAGAATACAGGAACAGTTGGAGAAATTAATTGTAAGTTTCAGTACTATAGGACACGGGAGGTGGGAGAATGGATGGTGAGAAGCTGGTTTCTTGTTGTTTTTTTTGTTATTCGTTATACTGACAGTTTATTTAGCTCGGTCGCATGGTAGACGTAATCCAAATTCCACGTGCAGAACACTCGTCAATAATTGGTCGCAGCGGTAAGTCTCTAAAAGAATTGCAGAGCCATTACAACGTTGAAATCTACTTCCCTGGCTCCCGATCGTATGACGATGTTAAGCTACCGAGCGATTGGGAAGATCGTGGTATTATCAAGGAAGAGTTGGTGAAGATTATTGGGCAAAAAGAGGATATCATATGCGCTAAGGCAGAAATTATGGTAAGATTTTGGAAGAGAAAAAGGGATGCATAGAAGGTTAATTAAATATAGTGTGTGTTTCATCATCGTAACATACTTGGTTTGTACGTTTACTTATCTTCTTGCTTATATCCATTCTTATAATTATTTATACTCGGACGATCCAGTCTCGCATGCGTTATACATCAACCGTCCCCATTCCGCTCAAATACTATCGCATTTTGTCATCAGACGGATCACTGCGCAGAATTCACTACGACTTTAACATCATGGTCGATCATGAAAATTTGTCTGAAACTCAACGTGCAAACGGTAAACCCAAAAGAATAGACGATGATGACGAGCAAGAATTTGATGGAGAATTGAAAATGGAAGTAGTTGAATATGGCAAGGAAGATGAAGGAGAAGAAGTTCGGATGCACTTGAAAGGTGATAAGAAGCAGGTTGAAGCAGCGGAGAAGCATTTGGATGAATTGTTACAAGGAGCGGTAAGTTTTGGGGGGGTTGATCACAGAGGCATTATGCTCTAGCTTGTGGTTTTTTTATCTGCAACCCGATGCTACTAACTTTGTGTTTATTTTCACGCTCAGTCTGCTTATACTCATACTGGCTACATAACAATTCCTCAATACTTCCATCGACACATAATCGGCCGTGATGGAATCACAATAACAAGTATCCGGTCGGAGAGCGGGTGTCTTATTAACGTACCCAAGGATAATGGCCAAGTTGTCTTAATTGGAACTGCCGAGAGCATTGAGAAGGCAAGGAAGCGTATACAAGAAATTGTTTCGCGTGCTGTTAAGACAAGCTAGTGTGATGGGAAGATTAAGATTGATACTGAAAGTAAAAATGGAAGTCGTGAATTTATATTTACACGTTGCATTTGTTATTATTAGCTTTCTTTATCGCACAATATTCATTATTCTTTGTTGTATCGAAATTTATAGCGTTTAGGATATTTACTGATATTGAAATTATTTGGATTGATATCAAACTACTGGTTATCCACAATGAACATTCCGTCTTCTATTTATTTACTTGATATTCATTTTAGAAGTCTCAATGAGAGAATTCACAACATTTATTAAAATATTTAATGCACCGGGATATAAAGAAATATTCATTTAAACTTGAGAAGGCCGAATATAAGAGATTGATTAGGCAAATACCCGACGGTTATGGAAATGATATTAATATAGATTTGGGAAGGGGTAAAAATTACTGATGCGACTGTGATAGTACGTATGTTATCAATCGCATGTTAAATATTTATACAATGCAAAAATTTGCCATCATTCTCATGGATTCAGCGAACTCGAATTAAAATTCTTAATTCTGTTCTGTGTGTATTTGGAAATTATCGCAATAAAAGCAGTCTATCATTGGATTATTATTAATAAAGACATCAAATTCAGGACAAATTTGTCCATGGGTTTTTTTGTCAACATATTCATCCGACTTTTATTCAGAACTTTTACCGAAGAAAGACCATCCACGGAAAACGACTGTCAAAGTCGTAAATGAATGGGTTGATAAAGAAAAAGGGAAGGGAGATGGAGACAATAATAGCATTAATAATGTATAGATTTCACTAGAGCGACCAAAGTATAGGGGTACTCATCAACGGCTTTGGGTCCGAGTATTTCCTCCCATGCAATCGCTCTAGTGAATCTTCGATATACTTTGTATCAATTGTTGTAAATATCCTGACTATGTTAATCATTTGCAATGCATATTCAAAATTTTAATTAAATAAAAAACGAAACTCGCAAATTTCCCAACTTAATGAAAACAAGGTCTCCATTTATATCATTGTGCTGTCATATAGACTACAAATCACAAGAATAACGTTTGCTGATGGAGATTGCTCCGTTTAAGCAAAGAAGTTTTACTAATTGTTATTACGTGTGGTGCGATCACTCTAAATGTGATCTGACTTTATTGGTCGCATTCTGCATACAATAGTTAAACACTGTGAAAGGTCTAGAAAGTTTCTAATAATTACGTCATTGATTAAGCCACTGATCAGGCGCTAAGATATTAGATCACGTCACGCAGATTTCATACAAAATTTCTCTTTACCATGGCATCTTTCAACATATGGGTCAAGTACGACGAGAGCGAACCGGTTAAAGTCAAATTTGGCGGAGAGGATGTCGATGACCTGAAGACGGCGATCAAGAGGAAGCTGGCCAATAAATTGGGTGAAGTGGATGCTGACGATATTAGGCTCCAAAAACATGAGGAGGAGAAGGATCTGGAGCCTGATTGTTCGGTGGACAGAACCTTTGATCCTACCGCAAGAAAGCCGCTCAAAGTCGTCGTCGTCCGAGGTAAGTAACAGGCACTGGGAAGGCGGAGTGCTGGGATGTCGAAAAAAGGAAGTTAGTGGTAACGACTTTGTGACTCGGGCGTTGGGGACATAGAGTAGTGTTTACATAGGGTAGAGTGGACGTAGTAATAGAAGAGAATTAATGTGTGATTTTCTTTCATACCAAATGACACACAAAATAAGAAGCGAAAATTCGATGAGTTTTCATATGGGCATGCAGTCAAAACTGCGAAGTGGACGGAAGAGGATATGGCAGCACCATTGAGTTATAGCCGACATGCTGAGTGGAGCAAAGGCCGATATAATGAGCTGATTTTAAACTACCGTGGTCACTGAATTCCAAGTATCCCAATAACCCTCTACAATCCCGTATTTGCTAAGTTTAAAGACTGTACTATCAGTATCAAGGTTACAACTGAAGATTGTGTAGCAGTTGCAGAGTTGCTAAATGATATGTTAGAAGCTTACAACATGGAATATTTACGAAATCAGAAGTTTTGCCAATGGGCTACACATTATCTTGGGAGACCTGTTAATAAACTGGCACTTCCACAATAGTCTCAAGAAGCTGACATTGGAATACTTTATGTGAAAGAGGAAATGCAGTATGTATATGCTCTATTGATTGGTGAAGCAAAAAATGAGATCGGAGAGGGTTCTGGGTGTCCTTATATGCAAGCTAGTGCTTCCTATGCAAAATTTGTTGGTGTAAATCCTGAGGCTTGACTTTGATATCATCTTAATCCTGTTTTTCTTATCTACTTTGCTGGACCTGTTCTGGGCATTGGTGGTGCTGTCTTCAATACATCTCATCATCAAATTCATCAACCATAATAGCAAACATATCTACAGTTCTCTATATTATATCAACTTGTGGACAACACATCTCCAATAAAATACTTCAAACAGGGTTGGCTGCTTGTAAAATTGACAGTGGTGATTTTACCACATTTCGAGGTTACCCCTAAATGATGCTGAGCTGGAAGATACTGAAGACACGTACATTCAGAAATTTACTCAAGATTTGGTTTACTTCATTACGAGGAAAGTTTACCATGCTAGATAATGGTTTATTAGAACTTGCCATTTTGTCCTACCCATATATAAAGACAAAATCCCAGTCTGTAACCCAATTTCTGTTAGGATGGGTTAAAAGAGTGTGCACACCACAGAATCTGGGTATTATCTGATGTTTAGAAGTCAAGCCATATTTAACGGCAGACATGCATGGGCTGGTTAACATAGTATTAACACATGGTCATCTAAAAAACACTTTCACTGCTGTGAAGACCTCATTCATAATCCAATGTATTGCAGAGTTGTTCATTATCGAAAATAATATTGTGTTAAAATTCCCAATTTATAGGCATTACACTTCCACAGATATCACTAGCCCTTGACTCAAATATTTGCTCCAGGACAAACTTATTTTGCAATAAGCAGATGTCCAATATGGGACAAAGTAAGCATTATAATTAGTAGCATTCATCAAGATGCTTTTATAACAGACCCTGATGTTATAAATGAATATAAAAGATTAGAAGGAATAGCATCTCAAAAACTTCCTATAGTCTAGCAAATTTTACATTTAAATAATTTTATTTTATTTTTTTTGAACTGACTTTGCCCAGAAACTATATCAAATATATTATAACAACAACAAACAATAATTTATCAAATTTCAATACTAATACAATAATAAAATTTGTTGACTGTGAATGTATCCAAAGTCAAATTTTCCAACTGAAAGCTGACTGATGAAATCAGGTGGCATATTAATATATGAAGAAAAAAAAGGAATAAGTAAATTAATTCCGATTCTAATGCCAATGCTGATTCTGATCCCAAATTTTAGTTTGATTACAATTTGCAAAAATTGCGAAAATTAGTATAATTAGCATTAATGATCTCAACATTCAGATGCATTTAAATACTATACTTTAAAATTTTTCTTCAAGTTTTCGTTTTTTCCTTAGTTCATCATAAGTTGGTGGCAGTGTTCGTTTATTGTTTATTATTTTTCGTTCTTCTTGGTAAATTTCATAAGTAATTTTTTCTTGATTTAGATATTCCTGGAGAGTTTAGGTATCATTGATTTTAAAAACATAAGGTGCAATTTTTTCTCCTTGCTCTTTCTTTAAAATACTTCGAATAGTACTGTAATTTTTGGGTTCCATGGTAGATTTAATATAAATTAATTTCATATTATATTTTTATATAGAGATAATCCTATAACTTCATATCCATCTTACATAATTGTATATAAGATTACAGCTGTGATAGTTGAAGTGTTATTAACCAAATTAGTTAACTTTCAGCCACATCAGCATCTCATTTATGTCACATAATAGAATGTTCACTTTGTCTGGTTTTGTTGCAGTCTGCCCCATTTACA